CTTTTTATCTTCTGCTTGTCTCTGCACATGAGAAAAAAACCCGAGAATAGCAAGCAATGTATTGGCTTTTATACTTACCCTATAACAATATTGTTCCTTTATTCCTATGCTTACAGGCAAAATATGCTTTTTGCTTTACATATCATAGTATCTGAGCAAAATCATGATCCTGCCTTTCTAAACTTATTAATTTCTCAAACTTTCTTCACATGAAAAAAATCTTGAGCACAGTCTTTAAATGTGTTTTTCATCTACTCAAGAATTTTTTCCTGAGCTCTGGAAAATTAAAACTATAGATTTCATTGGATTAGTGCAAGTCATTGAATTTAATATAATTAAAATACCATTATTCACATAGACCTTTCAGCACTAACCATTATGTGAGGATTACAGTCTATTTGCCCAAATACTAATTATGTTTCATATTTTTCATCCTTTATACAGCTCTTCCACTTCTGGAAATTCTCCCTAAGTTAAACACTCAATAGAAACTGGATGTGATTTTAAAGGCTTACCAACCAGCAGCACCTGCAAAGGTAGTGGGAGTGGGGAGCCAGGTGTGGGGATGGGAGAAAAGAAAAAGAATGTGCTGGTTCTGTCCTGTGTTGACAAAAATACAAACAGTGGACTGAGGGAGGGGGAAGCTTCTATAAAACTGTACACAGTTCAATTAGTACCTTCAAATGAGGCTTCTGTACTATTAGTCCCATTGCTGACTTTCTTTTTTCTCTATATAATTATTTCTTCTTAAGTTTTAAAAATTGGGGTAGAATTTCCCCTCAATAATCCTTATTTCTCTTAGTGATTTGTTTATGTGACCTTCCCAGTTACCAAATAATAAGTATGTAGGCTATTCACTGACTCTGATTCAGCCTCCATAGATGATTACTTCCCTGAAATGAGCAGGAAGAGTAGCAGCTCATCTGAATTGCATAGATATTCATTTTTTTAGCAGAACAAGGAAAATAACAGCTAAATCATCAGTAGTACTGTATATCCCCAAAATCTGATATGCATAAATAACAGCTTTAAATCACAATCCTCTTTCCTTGTCTCCAGAAGCAGAAAAGGAAGCAAAAAAGAAGTCACAGATAACCAAACTAGATTTCTTCTGTGTTATTTGCACTGCAAACTGCTAGAAGTCAGCACATAGAATAAAGCTGAGGGAAGTAAAATTTTGGACACAGACAGAAAGAGTAGGATAAAAGTTAGAAGTGAGTCAGAGATGACCCTAAGATAACAAGCAGTGTTTATAATTCCTATAAACTCCTCCCAAATGACAAGATTTTTGTTGGTCTCATACTGACCCTGCAAAACTACAGCCCACTCAGGAATTTCTGTCCATTTAGTAAAAGTCCTCACTCTTCCAAACAGCCTCTGCCTTGTGAAAGGAGTGAGGGGCCAGGAAACAGATCTCAGGAGGGGACTGTTCAGGACAGGAGAAGCAGAAATGGGGCAGAACATGAAGCTGTGTGGAACAAAAGTGTATTGTTCATTTTGGAGTTTGGGCAGCAGGTGTGACTGCTGACAAGTAAGAGCTTTGGAAGCTTCAGAGAATAACCACAAAGGCTGCTGGACCTCATACATGCTAGAGACAGGTAAAACCACAGTTCACTAGGTGCACAGACACATTTTTTATAAAAATCTCATCCTTGGATGGCACCATGATTCATGACTATAAGGGCAAAAATCCTGGATTTGAGCATGAGGAGAAAAGTGATTGCTATGAGTTTGATAGAATTTATTAACAGAAGATGTGATCTTTAGACGTAGTAAAACACCTGAATAGTAGCCTAGAGATACAATGAGAAGAGACGAGAGCTGTAAAATACACATGAAAGTGATCTGTCCACATGAATCAACCACAGTCATCCTTTGCAAGACCAAACATGTTGTTAAACCTGACAAACTATTAGTTCAAAAGAAAATAATAATAAAAAGTCCAATAAAAATCTTATACTGTAGAGAAGGCTCTAAGATTGCATAGTTTGTGCTTGTTTTACACTGAATATTATGCAAGATGTCTACTGTACCCAAATTATCAAATAGAAAAAAAAAATACTAAGACAATACATAAGACAAAGAGACAGCAAGAACATCAGATGAGGACAGATTTGCAAAAGTTGTGGATAATGTGATACAGAAATTTTTAGGTAAATGTCTAAAAGGCCCCAGTGATACATCAAGACATTCTCCATGTATTCTGTGGTTCTCTATGTGCTGAATATCTGAAATCTCCTATTTGTTGTTACATGGGTGGCTGATCCATAGCAGTGGATTTCTAACAGCAGGCAGTGGATTGCAAATGCACAGAAGATGCAGTATCTGCCTAGCAGCATGAATTTACCTTACTCCCTATTTCCAAATCAGGGAATTGAAGAGTGACCACTGTGCCTCACTGGCACCATGAAAGTCCCATGGCCCCAGAGGGGAACTGGAGGATGAAATCTATCCTGAGAAGCTAAAGCCTGCCTTTTTCATGTAACCCCCAGTACATTTGGAGCTGGCAAATAAGACAGCATACATACAAGTGTCTTTCTGTAACCTAAGTAGCACAAATGATCATGGAACAGTTGGAATCTTGAAGTCCAGTGAAGAATAAGAAGTCACTAGAGACTTTGTTCAATCTCAATGTGAGGAAATACTGGACTGTAAAAAATTAAATAAAAATTAGAAGGAGAGGAGCCTTGACCAATGATTGTAAGCTTTCAACACAAAGATAATGTGGGTGCAGAGAGGAACGAAAGCAGAGCAGCATTTTATGTTTTATGGAGTGATCACACCACAGTTGCGATGACAGAGAAAGAAACCAGTGAGCAGGGAGAGGCTAGAGCTGAAAAGAATACTGAAAGGGACTGAGAAGTGCTTGGAGTAGATGGATGTGTGAAGAAAGTGCATGAATTTCCAGTTTCAGCCCTAAGGTCAAAAGAAGAAAGGGACTGGAGAAGAGAAGGAAGTAAGACATGTACAGTAAGTATTGCCTGCCTGATTTTCTAGGATGCTTCTAGGATCTTGTGAAGAGAGTCAAGAGTGAAGAGGAAAGAGACTGAGGAGACATAGCAGCTAGCAAAAAGTTGGCATCCTCTGCAAAGGTGTTTGGCTGGGAATGTGGCAGGAACGTGATTGCAAAGCACTGACCTCGTAAGGCATAAAGCCATCTTATTATATTTTTTCAAAAATGTTGTTTGCTGAAGACACATAATTTGACAAACCTCTGGCACTTGACAAGCCTCTCTAGTATCGTTAAGGCTTAGACAATTTTAATTTTATCTGCATATTGTGGCTTCAGAGTACTTTGCCTCTGGGATAGCATCCCAGGAAACTAAAGCCGAGCAATTAAGCTGGTAACGAAGCGCGCGTTGTGCTGCCTAATGCGCGCTGCGAGCGCCCGCGGAGGCTCCCGGCAGGACGGGACGGCCTTTCCCGAAGGGACCCGCGGGATCCCCGGACGGCGCCCCAGGGAAAGCCGCAGTGTCCGGGGGTCAGCTTTGCACACCCCCAAGTTTTTACCGTACGGTAATATCGGGGCCTCTGTTATCGCCTTCGTCGGCAGAGCGGAGCAGAAACGCTTGTCTAATCGATGTTTGCCCCAGCAAACAGCGAGGGAAGGGGCAAGCCTCCTGCCGCTGGTGCGATGCTGACAGCCCGGCCAGACCCTGCGGACGGGCAGCCAGGCCAGCACCACGGACACTGCCCCAGCCTCCCGCCCGCCGGGAGCGGAGGGCTGCGGAGGGACCGGACCGCGGGGCCGGGGCCGAGCCCGCAGCTGCGGTCGCGCTCCGGCGGCGGTGCAGGGTCGGAAGGGGAGAAAAAGGGGAGCTCTTCCCGGTTCTCGTCTCAGCCGTGACCGCGAACAACCTGTGTTTACAGAGGGCGACTCCCAGGCTCCCAAGTTTAGCGCTGAGACAAAATTTATTGCGGTTATTCCGGGGGAGGGAAGAGTTCTTATGCTTCTGCGGCTGCGAAGGGGACCGGAGGGGGAGAATGGGCGGGGAAGCGGCAGCGGGTCAGAGCGGCACCGGGCTCTCCTCGGATGGTGTTCCTTGCCAGCAGTTCAGGAGTAACTCTTTCCGATGCTGCTCCTTTCGTTTAAAGCAAGTGTTTAGCCGAAAATGTCAGTGTAATAACTCAGGGATTCATGCCTTATGAGAGATGAGCGGCGCCCTCGGTCAGTAAGCCCCGCCGGTCCTCTGATGCTTGACGAGGGGCAGCCTTGCCCCAGTGACTCCCCTTCTGTCCCCAGGTGTCCTGCTGCCCTTGTTCTCGGTGGAGCCCGGTGCCTTTCCGCTGTTTTGGGCGGTCGCGTGTTATTTCGGGTTTCTCTGCCGGGCGACCTGCGGCTGAGACGGTGTCAGCCCGGGGGAGGTAGGGAGGGGGAAAAAAGGGGCGGCGGAGTGACAGACATGGGTCTCACCGTGCCACTGAGCTGATGTAATTTGCCTTCCAACCTGAACGTTGTGATTTCATTTTTTTTCCACGGTTACTTTCTCTTATTGGGGCTACACGAGCGCTCGGGGATGATCTTCCTTCTCACTGGACGCGGGAGCCCCCCGCGCACCCCTCCCTGGACACCAGAAGGTCGGGGGTTTTCCCTCTCCCCACCCCATCCCCATTCCCATCACCATCCCGGAGCGCTCCCGGCGCTCCCCCGCTGCCGCGCCTGTGCTCCCTCTCCTCGCCTGACCTTCCCAACATGGCGGCTCGGCCGCCCCCTCCTCCCCCGCCCCGCCGCCGCCGCGAGGGGCCTCCCCGGCCGGGGGGCGGTGGCGCTGTCAGCCGGGCGGGGCGGGGCCCGGCCGGGAGCGGGCGCGGGGCAGGGCCGGGCCGGGCGGGGCGGTCCCGGCGCCGCGCACACTGACAGGCGCTCGGCCAGCAGACGGCGGCCGCGTTGGGGTGCAGAGCCGGCCGCGCACCCTCCCGCCGCCGCAAAGGGAACCGGCATCGCTTCGGCGAGGAGACGCGGGGCGAGCGGCGCTGGAAAGCCCCGACCGCCCCCGTACCTGTGCCCTCCGGGGGCGGTGAGTGGGTGTAGCCGCCGCCGATCACCTGGGATCCCGCCCCGCAGCGCCTCCGCCTCCCGTCCTCGCCCGGCCGGGGAAGGCGCCACCGCCACTGCGAGCGAGCGATCGCGCTCCGGGCGGCCGCGGGCAGCAGGAGCGGGGCCCGCGGGCGCAGCGAGGCGAGCGCTGCGGCGCCGGTGGGGCTCGCCCGCTCCCGGCAGCCGGGGCGAGGCGGGCGGGAGGGGCGGCGGCCCCCGGCCGGCGGCGCCCGCGGCGCGGGGCGCTACAGCCGCGGCAGGATGAACCCCAATGTCACCTACGCCAGTCGCAAGCGGCGGAAACCTGTGCAGAAAATGTAAGCGGCCCCGCGGGCGGGCGGGGGCCGAGGCGGGGAGGGCGGTGGGAGCGTCGGGCTTCCCGGGGCCGCGCCGTCCTGCGGCGGGGGCCCGGCGAGGGCGGCCGGCGGGGCCGTGCGGGGCAGGGGCGCCCGGGAGAGGGGTGCCGCGAGATCCTGGCAGGGTTCTTACTGTTTTTAGGGGGAAGTTCCCCCCAGAAAAACCAAGCGAGTGCTGGGGCGCGGAGGGTCGCGGCGGGGGAAGCAGGGAGCGGTGCCGGCAGCGCGGCGCAGCCGGCTGACCTAGATTGGGAGGCATCTGAGGTGACGGCTCCGCGCGGTGGCTGCGCTCGCCCCGCCGGAGCGGGTCCCGCGGGTGGTGCCGCGGTGGTGCCCGCTCCCCCCGCACCGCTGCGCCCGCACCGCTCAGGTGTCTCTGCGCGGAGCGAGTGGTCGGAGCTGGGAACGGCTTGGCCGGTTCCCACCGTGTAGGGCTGAACCCCCAGCATTAACCCTCCGGTATTGCATGAGATGCGTTTATTTGCCAAAGAAACCCGAGTGCTGTAGACCGGTCGAAAGAGGGGGAAAAAAAGTCTAGTGTAATGTATCTTTTTGTTTATTAATTTATCTTATTGAAACTGTGGGAGCAGGGTAGTATCTGAGTAATTTTCTACGATGCACCTGCTTTAGGTTTGCATCCGAGGCTTTGTATGCTTCCACTAAAAGGCTGCTCTCATGAGAGGGGAATTTTCAGGCTAGAGGAGATGCTTAACTTGCACTTTCGACCGAAAGTCAAGAATCTATAGGTCATAAAAAGTAGCAAAGCTAAACTACTGAGTTGAAAGAAAAATAAGCAAAGCTAAAAAAATCTTTGTGCATTTCAGAGGGGTACTTTTGTAGATGTAAAATAACTACCAGAACTACAAAAGCACTAAAGGAGAGAATGACAAATATTTAATGAAATCCTATTGTGAATGATAGGTTTTCAGATTCACAGCAGACAACTGTCTTGGGGGGAAGGGAATTAGCTTGAGCACTTGCTTCATTGTGGTTGGAATTGTTAGAATGAGTGCATGTAACACAACAAGTTAGCACAGAAAGTCTAAAAATGTATCTTTTTTTTTTTTTTAATTCCCTTACTAGAAAATGCTTTAGTTATGAAAAGAACAGTGCTTTCTTCTTTGACCTTTCTTTTCCAAATACAAATGTAAAGGTACATAGATATATTCACACTGTAGATTTGGACTTTTAAGAATGAAATCAGTGTTTTTTCATGAGGAAATGACATGTATTTGTAGGCTATTAATAGCTAAAGGCAAATAGTTCTGATTGTGTAAGGGCGAGGTGTTCTGCCTTGCCTGGTAAGATAGCTTCATGTCTGACTTGCTATTAATTTCTGGTTAACCTTGGCTAGAAGATGTGAAACCTTGTATTTTACCATACTGTGATGTCTACATAAGTAATCCTTTTCCCTGTATCTCCTCGTTATGTAAGTTGTCTGAGCTGCTGTGATTAGTTGAACTTGAAGCCTTTTTTTTTTTTTTTATTACTAATGGGAACTATTTATCTATTGAAGGACTGTGCCCTTTAGGACCAGAGGGAAAAGTTTCTTCTCAAAATAAAAGTATTCATATTGAAATAGTGTGCTCACCCATAATCGAAGTGGAGGCTGATTATTAACTTACCTTGCTTGCTTGGGTTACCGGAAATTATTTTTATGCAAGACATTTATCTTACATGTAATGTTTATGTTTGTCTTTTCTTCTCAAAATGATTATGCTCTTTGGCTGCTGCTTCTGTTAGGCCAACCTTGCAGAACATTTCTAGTGGGTCAGAGGGCTCCGATTTCTCACATAACTAGTTACAGACCACACCTTTAGGCCAAAAAAAAAAAAAAAAAAAGAGACAGGTAATAAGGTTCTTTTTTAACTGATTGAGGGAGAGAGGAAAGATGTTTTTGGTGCTGGTTAATAAAGCTTTGACACTACTGTCATTTCAATCTGTTTGAAGTTGATAATGATATTTCCTACCCTCAGTAGAATTCACATTACTGGGACTAGTATCTTTTATAGAAGAGATTGTTTCTGTTGATAGTTGTAATGTTTTGTTTGCCATACATGTAACTCTGAATGGCACATAATAATTGGTAACCTGTGGTGACAGGCAGATAGTCTTTAGAAATGGAAGAAGGTCTTAATATAATGCCATAGTTGCCATTGAAAAAAAATTAAATAGAAGAAATACTTCTTACTTCAGGTGCAAGTAACTCATGAAAGCCATGGTAGTAACTCAAAACCAGTTTAAGAAACATCCCTTCTGCAACTCTCCCTTTTTATTATCTGCCATGTAAAGAACTGAACTTGAAAGGGAATCACAGGCTATTGCCTGACAGTGCCAAGTGTTGAAATGTGCTTTTTTGATTCAGTAGGGAATTACGGTATCACAGCTGAAAAAGAAAAGCAATCATGGAGGAACATAATAGGCAACTGTTCCTGCAATTCATCTTATCTTGTCATGTAAAGAAAGAAAAAAAAAAAAGGAGTGTGCTAAACATGTGCACTCCAATTGCTTGTAATATGCTACAGAAATCACTTTCCTAATACCTTGAAGTCTTTCAATTTCCTCCCTATTTAGTGTTTGAACCCTGCGAGTCCCCCTGGTGGTAGCAGGGCTGGGGGGTGTTTCTCTCCCCACCGAGACTCGGGGAGCAATGGGTGGCTCCTGAGTTTTGCTTTGATGTTTTTTTCAAGACTTAAATTTCTTTTATCTAGCGATTATTAAGTGAACTAATATACTAGCACTGTAGTACGAAGGATAAAATGCAAATTTTATGGAAGTGGGGCTTACTGCAGATAGATTCTAACATGAGGTGAAGGGTATTATATAAGTACCACTTGCAGTTTTTATGTCTTTCTGCCCACTATCTCTGATTTGGTTTGTTTTCATTTTTTTCAATGTTTGGATAGGAATTGTTTTGTATAACTGGATAAATGTAATACACAAAGAATGGGGTGGGGATTTCTAAATGTTTCATACTATGCAGATGCAAAAAGCATCATGTCTTGTTTCTTTAGTAGACTGAATAAAAAATTATGATAGGGTTTTGTTCTGTGTTATCTTAACTATATTTATGACATTAAGTACTCCAGAGGTTTGACTCGATCCTTAATGATGAGTAGTCCTAGTAATGTAACAAAGCAGAGCAGAGATATTTTCATTTAAAACACTGAAACAGTTTATGTATTCTTTCAAGACAAACAAACAAAAAGTGCCAGAACAAGCTTTCAAAAAGGAAGTTAATCAGAAAAGAAAAATAATCATTGAAATATTCGTTTGTGTAAAGCAGTATTGGCTACAAACAGCAGTTTGCACCTTTTATTTGAAATGAAGGCAATAAGGCTGTAATCATTTGTAGAATAAACTTCTTATATATATATTTGTTAGTCTGTATATTTGTCAGGTGTAGCTGTACATTACCTGTAGACTGCTACTTAAAATTCACTAGTTTTAAGGTTAATGGGTTCTTTTGGTTTGGTTTTGGTCAATGTTTCTTGCAAAAGCACACATTTTTGGAAAGAATCTGCAGCAAATGGAGGTATAGGTATGTAGGTAACATGGTCAGGAGACAGAAACATAATGTTTTGTTTCTTTTTATTCAAGTAGCGTTGGCTTGTTATCTTAAATAATAATGAAATATTTTAAAACTGAGTGTTAAACTTTCATTCTTGATTGGTGTTCTGGATGTCTCTGTTACTCTGGTTGAATCCTTCATGCACCAAAAAAAAAAAAAAAATAACCTGAACAAACTAACTCTATTTTCTACTGGAGGACAAACAGTAGCCCAGCACTGGACAAGTAGCATGCAACTGTTTGAGGTTTTTTTCGTAAATCGACTTAATCCCTTCAGCAGTTTGAATCTTTGCTGGTTTCAGTCTCTGCTGAAAGAGCCACTGGAAAGAGTATCTTGCCCTTTCAAGATTGGTTGATGACAACTTTAGATCTCAGAGCTTGATAGTCTGTGTCATATCTGTTGCTTCCAAAGGAATCATCAGCTGAATTTACAGTAATCGTAAATTCGGTGTGGGAAATAGGACTAAGCGCTTAAAAGTATTTCTCAGTTCCTAAAGTAAATAGAGAATGTCTTAGGATTGTATTACTTGCTTAGTGGTAACTGATGCATTTCATATACCCGAACTACATTGAATTAAATCATATGCGCATTTACTCTTAAATATGAGATAAAAAATATACATAGTTGAGAAGATTAAATCCATTAACCAGGATTAACATGAAGAACATTGACTATGTTCTTTCTTATGTCCTTTTTTCCTCAGCAATAAAGCTGTTCTGATGAACTTCTAATTAAGTTTTTTTAGGAAATTTATGTTTCTTTTAAACGTGTCACTGTATCTTTAGTGCTCTTCTTGCACATTCTTTTATTCTCTTCATTTCACTGTTCAGTCTTGTTAATAAGGTATCATGCTTTTCAGTGCTTCGTTGTTGGGTTTTTTCCTTTTTTTCCCCAAGCTTGTGTTGTCATATTATGAAGAAAACAAACTTGTGCTTTTTTTGCATTTTCTCAAAAACTGCTTCACTTTCCCTTTAAAATGATAAAATTAGCATGTAATCATTGGGTACTTGTGCACTTTCTAATAATTTATTGCTGTTAATATCTGTGAAGGCACACA